TGAGGAAGGGAACACTGAGCCTCTCCTTGATAACGAGCCTCTGGTAAACTTTCAGTTGACAAACACTCACGAACAACACGCTGAAGGATCGGACATCGCAGGCAATGGCACCCTCGAAGACACCCAATTGAACAGAAGCACGACGCCTCCTCCCGTGCAAACTCCGTTAACAGCAACTCCTCGCTCGGGCCTTAGTCCAGCAGAATTGGCTCATTTGTCAGATCGGCTCAGCATGCCAGCGTCTTCATCACCAGTTCTATTGAGTCAGACAGCTCGCCGTCGTATCCGCCTCGACTCCGTGTTGGACTCGCTGACTACTGCAACAGCACCTGAGAAGTCTTTGATGTATCAGCAAGCCGATACTGCAAATTCCTACTCATTTCTCCGTCGTTCCATGAGCCTGGATGGTTATGCCGGCCCCAAATGAGCGTTCCGTCAAAACCGTAGCAGAGTACACCTGTCACCTTCACTGAGTGAAGCCATCCTACAAACACAGTAATTAGATACAGAAGTGTAACTATAACCGCGTTAAAAAGACCTACCATTAAAGTAAGCGTTCTGCAGATCGCTAGCCGAAGGCTCCTGGACTGCATAGTTTTTTCCATCAGCAACACAAAAGCATCCTCGTACAAGTGCCTCCTTCTTGGTAACACTGGCGGCCCAACTACGCTGTTGATCACATGTCGGCCACCGAATCTGGGCTTCCGGTACTTCTGGTAGTGCCTTGTGCAGAGCGACCTCTGCGTTGCAAAGAACGCGTGACAGCGTGGAGGGAGGCGCTCCAAACATCTCACACAGCGTTTTGTGCTCCACGGCGTGCGCGTAAAAATGTAGAAGACAAGCGAGGACGTTATTGATGCTACAGAAGCGAGGAGGACGTCCTCGTTTGCCAGGACCGCTCTTAACAACGTAGTGTGCTGTAAACGATAGCAGTAATCTTTCAAATGCCGCCACTGGTATTGCCACCGTATTGATAAACGCTCCGTCGTCTCTGCTTCTGTAAATTGTAGCCCATGGGCTGTTCGACGGAGATATAAGCGCACTTGAGGTCAGGTAGTTACGAACTCTGAGAGTCATACGAACGCGAAGCAAAGCAGCAATTTTCCACTTGAGTTGACGCTTATGACGTAATTCGTGCTGGCGACGGCGATTCAGGTTGGCGAAGAGGATAATAGTGCGGTGAACCATGTCTTTAGAGTACCTTGCACTCCGTTTCACTGTGCAACTCTGCTGAAGAACGCTGAAATGACGATCAGCAACTAACTTTCATCGAAGATTATACCGCTTTGCATGTGTTATTTTTGGAGGACTGGTAATACACAAACCAGTCATATACCACGCACATGTACTGGATCAAGACCGACACATATGTCATGATATGACCGACACAGTCTTGCGATTGTGTTATTTTTGGAAGTCTACCACTGGCCTGGCAAAGCAAGAACTACAGCATGTACCTATGTGGTTGCCTACCTCACCAGTGGTAATCTCTGCCAGTGGTTGATTCTTGCTCTTGTCCACCTCGCTGGTCCAAAAGTCGTGAAAAATAAAACTTGAAAACGTCAAACTTGAAAACGTCAAAAACTCTCTTCCTACAATCAATACTCCACCCCTTACAAACGCCAAGTCATTCGAAGCACAGGACACAAAGCCAGGGCACTTACGTCATATCGTAAAAATTAACTTTTCCTTCCGGCTTGTTCGAACCAACTTTGCTTCCAGGACCTTGCATTACGAAACTTCACCCAGCGCGGCGCCAAGCCAAGCGTGACATCTTCATCGGGATCCCTCCGCCACACTTTGCAACACCGCGCGATGACGGAAGCCGCCGCGGACTACCACGCGCTGCCGGAACAGGGCTCGTTCTCGGGCCACGGTGCCGAGCGCGTGAGTCGCCGCAGCTCTCAGGGTCCGTCCACGACGGTGCCCGCTGCGTCCACCGACAAAGCCACGCCACTACCCAGTGGCTCTACGGACGAAGCGATGATGGAACTGGGCGATGTGGACGATGACGCCGTGGCTGTCATGCCCCGTGGCACGCCCAAACCTCTTCCCAACGCCTTCCTTGGTCCTGGATATGGGCGCAACTCATACTTTACATGGCGCTTGCGTATGAGCACGTTACTGGTCGCGGCGCTCGGTATTGCAGGTATTGTGGCATTCTGGGTGTCCAAGGATATCGGACATGGAGGCGTGTACGTACAGGACGTAGGATACGCAATGTCTTTCCAGCGTACGATAACCACGGCGTGTATTGCAGACACAGACTACTGCGGCGCTTGTGACACTATTGTGGTGTACGCCATGTTGGTGTATCACGTGGCGCCGCTGCTAGTGATCATCGGTCTACCAGCATCCGGTTTGCGGTTATTTGAGCCTTTTCGACGACGTCGAGACGGCGGAGGCCGCCAGAAGATCCAACGCTCAGTATTTTTCCAGTTCTGCGAACTCTTGAGCGTGGTGGTGTTGGGTGTTTAGTCTCCTGGTGATTCTGTATTTCGTGTATGCAATTTTCCAAGGCAATAATTTTCATTGCAGTCAGGCACGTGCAATATTGTACGTGGCCTTCGCAGTGGTGACATTTTTCGCAAATTTCGTGGTACTCACGTACTTCGCACGTTTCCGAGAGCATCTGAGTATGCAACTTGGGGCGTTTAAGGAAACGGACCAAACTGGAGGTATCCGATCTCGACTGCAACGTCGGCGCAGTAAATACAAGTCAGAGCGCACGCGGGTGGTGAACGACATACGTAAACACCTCTACAAGGAGACGTCACTGGGAAATGTAGCCCAGATGGAGACGCTATTGGAGTACGCTAAAGAGCGGCTGGGCACAGAGTTTCGCCCATGAAATGTACAATGACGCCAGACTGGTCTTCAAGCTGTTTTGGTCGCTCCAAGAAGAACCCAATTCATGTGTGTGCTTATTCTGGGAAACGTTCAGGCGTTGCAACTGCTTTTTCGAGGCTGGGATTTCCGCGTGGATAGCTATGATAAAGGTGTCTCGCGTGCGTTTTACGTCAACCCTTTGGGGTCGGGTAGCAGACAGCACAGTAGCGAAATTCTTGCATGTGTCG